GCCTTCACTCTTGGCCTGCGTGAAGCTTAAAGAGTATATCCCTTGGCTCCTTTTGTGTGCCACTCAAGGCTGTTTCAGTGACAATAGGCAGGATGACTGATTGCTCGTTTATACGATGCACAGTGGTGTGCAGATGGAACATAAATATTTATTGCCTCCAACTGATGCCACTCTTGACACTGGGAATTGGATATCAAAATCTTGAGACTTCAGCATATGATCTCATTACTACTGCCAGGGAGGGCATCCTCTTCTCCCCAGACACCCAAGACAGACCCTTTAGGAGAAGGTCAGGTCAGGCAAGAAAGTGCTCAGTCTCCCTTTCTCTCCTCCATGAAGACCAAGCCAACAGCAAGGGGACCTGCAGCATTAGACGTGTAGCTCATAGTGCTTCTGCCTGGTCTTCTGTTCATTCTGATATTTCTACTTGCACCTGTCTCTTCCCAGGAGTCTCCATGTCTAGCTGCAATCTGACCCCTCTATTTCTCATATGAGCCTGAGTCCTCCACTCCATTGGGCCCCCTGCCACGACAGGGCTTGTCTCTTATACAACCCACTGGCTCTGACCAACTGGGCTTCATCCTGGGAGTCATGGTGGGAACCCAAAGTCAAAAAGTCCCTTTTTGACAGTCTCCCTTCAAATCTCAGCTTGCTGAGTATAAGAACAATGTAGAAGTTTATAAAAATATTAATAGCACGCAAGTTCTGCTCCAGACCAACTACATCAGAATCTTTGCAATGGGGACCAGGCATTCAGAAATTCCCATTCCATTCTAATGTATGACCGGGACTGAGAACCACTGTGCTGGAGGGATTTTCTTCAACTTTACCATGTGAGCAAATCACCCAAGGATTTTGTTAAAGGCAGGTTCTGACTCAGTGGGTCTAAGGAAGGGCCTAGCTTCTGTATTTCTCACCAGCTCTCTGCTGGTCCAGCGACCACAGTTTGAGTAGCAAGGTTTCACAGGCAGCCAGATCTGAGGAGTAGCCCATGGGTCTATCGTGGAGTTCTCTTTAAAGCTGGGAACTGGCATTCCGGAGGAGTTTGGGTAAAAAGACTCAGAGAAGTAGAGAGGATCTTCCTGCCAATGTGAGATGAGGAACTTCCACACCTGCAAAGTGTTATGGGATGCTTTCTCTGTTATACATAAAGCACACAGCACACACAGTACCTGGCACATTGAATGGGGAAGACTTAGGATAGAATTCCCCTCGTGCCAGATGCTGCCCTGCCATGCTTTACATTCATATTTTTATAGTAAGTACTCAATGTATGATACGTGTGCTACTTGGGTATCAAAACTACTGAGGACCTCCACTCTACTTCCTACACTAAACAAGTATGTGCTTTCAACTTCTAAATCCTGACCCATCCCAGACACAACCCCACAGACCTTCCTGGTCTCAGAACTCCAATTCATTGTCTTTGAATGAAAGATTCATTTGATTTGTTTTCTAGGAGTTACAGCTGTATTTCCATAGCCTGGTCATGGCTAGTAGTGTCTTTGCTAGGGATAGGGACGTGTTGGAGTGCTCTATTTGGTTTAACTCACCACACCCTTAAAATGATCTAAGCAGTAGAAGCTAGTCACCGCAAAGGCACATGATGAGAAAGGGCAAGGTCACACACACAGTAATTAAAAAGGACCCAAACCAAACTGATCCCATGCTTTCCAGTGCCTCTCAAATTCTAATTGCTGTGGCCAGGCACAGTCGCCAGCTGCTCTGGAGGCAGACATGAAGAGGATTGCAGTTTGAGGCCAGCTCAGGCAAAAAGTTAGCAAACTCCATCTCAGCAAATAAGCTTTATATGGTGGTATACACCTGCAATCCCAGTTACTGGGAGGCATAGGTAGGAGGACTGCAGTAGGAGGCCAGACCTGCACAAAAATGGAAGGTCCTACATGAAGAATAACTAAAGTAGAAAGTGCTGAGGGCATGGCTCAAGTGATAAAGCACCTGCCTAGCAAGCACAAGGCCCTGAGTTCAAATCCAAGTACATCCCCACCCCCCAAAAAAAATTCTAGTTGCTGGGAAGCTTCACCAAAATGCAGGCTCTCATAATGCAGGTGAAGGTGATTCTGATGCTGCTAGTCCAGCACAGCATTTTGAATGGCAGAACTACAGCCGTGCTCTGATGCCTGCGGGTTATATCTGTGTATCTTCCTAATATCCCCCTAAGACTTCTTGTCACTTTATTACCACTGGTGGGTGGTTGATTTGATGAGTGGCAAAATCACAGTAAATTTCCACTTTGAACATTTACCCAAAGTTCTGTTTAAACTTCTGCTCTAACTGCAACGTTGTGTGGCAAAAGATAGGAGCTATTTGGAAAAGCTTTGTGTCCATTACAAGCTATATGTAACTTGTTGTGAAATTGCTTTTACATTTCAGTTTCACTTTCCTGAGTCCAGGAAACCATTCCCATCTCTAAAAGCAAAGGGAAGAGTTACAATTTGAGAAAAACGGAGAGAGGTTTCTTGAAACATAGAAGTGAATCATGCAACTGTAAGCTTTCCTTCTTGGCTCACAAGAAATGATGTGTATAGAAACCAGAAGAAATGAGAAAACCTTCTGCCTGGTAAAGGGTATTTAAGGGCAAATCAAGACTGCCCACTTAATCAGTCTGGATTCAGTGGCTGGGTACTAGCTCACTTGCAAGTGAGACAGAGAAAACCTAAACAGAGGGGTGAGGATAAAGAGCCAAGTGGCTACAAAGTTCCAAAGTCACAAACAAGGAGACCGACTTCCAATGATGAGTCTTTGAGAAAAAACAAAAACACCCTACTCAAAGCTGGTGACAGTATCAAGGTTAGATTGAACAGTGATCAGAGATAACAAGGATGGTTAGACGGCACCTTTCTATAATTCCTAGAGCCCAGTAGTTCTCAGAGTTCACTCACATTGAAGGCAGCAAGCTTTGAACACCTCCCCCATTCTCAAGCCATACCTCCATATCAATTTAAAACATGGCTGTAAGGATGGGGCCCACGCAATCTTAATTTTTAAAGCCTTCCCCCATGATTTCAATGTGGAGCCAAACTGGAGAGTCACTGGTATCCAGTATCTTTGTTCAAAACATGAAGTAATCCATCTGGACCAGTGATCTTTCACCCTGGCTGCATGGCAGAATCATCTTGATACTTCTTAAAATACAGATGTCGGCCCCATCCCTCTCTGCAAATTCTAGTTAATCTGTGGAGTTTGGGCACCAGCATTTTAAAGAGTTCCCTAGGTGTTTCTACTGTGTGTACAGTGAGGTAGGTGACTAGTGCTCCAAATGTTTTTGCCAAGATTCCTTCTACTGTTTCCATTTTAAGGATCGAGAATGTTAAAGCTGAAAGTACATTTTAGACTTTACAAAGGCAGATTACAACTTCTTTACCTTTGAAACAGATATTTCTAACTTTGGAGGGGTTGCATCAGATGCTCAAAACTGTTAAGACTACTATCTTAAAGGCAAGTGCAATTTAAGAAATTTCAGAAAATTAAAGAGAGGAGATTTGATTTTAGCAGCACAAGTGGTATAGTTTTAGATTTAGACACACCTACTGCCACCTAGCTGTGGTACATCCTTATTGCAGGTTTAATTCAGATCCTTTAGCCCATCCTTTGAAAAACTATAGGTGTAAGATTACAGATGTAAAGAGAGCAGATCCAAGTACAAAAAAAAGTTGTGTCTGGGACTAGGATTACAACCAGATCTGCCTTCTCAAGATTACTTGTAAGGATCCCTCAGATATTTTGCATTTATTTCTCCAACTGGGTAAGAATATTAGATTTTTCCAGTCCTGATTACTGTTAATTACTTGCCTCAGTTTGAATCTTGCTTGTCTCCCTCACTAACAATATGACCTTGGATAAAGTTACTTAATGTTTCTATACCTCATATAAAATGAGAATACCAGTACTTCAATATTTCTATAAAGAATAAATAATATACATATAAAATGCTCAGTATAACATTTAACACAGAGCATGAGCCCAATAAAGACTTAGTTTATATTACTGCTATTCCTAATGTTTTCCTCATTTTTAACACCTTAATGATCTTGTTCAAGTTACTATGCTTCCTTAAGCATCATTCATTGATCCACAAGACCAGGACAACAAATCCTTCCCAGTTTCCTTCATGGCATTATAATGAAGATCAAGTAAAAAAGTGGAAGGTGTAGTCTGCCTTCCACGTCCATAGGTTCTGCATCCACCTGCTGTGTTCAACCAACCACAGAATTCAGTCCAATGGGATCTGACCAACCATGAATCAAACATATTCCAAAAGAACTGTCATACTGACATGTACAGGATTTTTCCTGTTATTATTCCCTAGACAATATGGCTTAACAAATATTTACATAGCATTTACTGTATTAGGTATTATAAGTAACCCAGGATAATTTAAAGTATCCAGGAGGATATGCATAGGTTATATGCTAATGCTATGCTAATTTATGTGAGTTTTTGAGCTCCTACAGAGTTTGGTATCCTTAGGGGGTCCTAGAACCCATTCCCCATAGATACCAAAGGACAGCTCTATGTCATTATATGGCAACTTGTCATGTGTCTGGAGAATCTATAAATCACAAGAGGGTTCACCCTCAGGAAACATTCTTTGAGATTCCAGTAGCTGAGTAGCTTCTACATCTGGATGCAGACTTTCCTATGTCACATCCAGCATCCTAGGCACCTTCCCACCACATGGGCAAATAGGTGATCATAGTCCACCCTGGTATTTGCAAGCTCCCTTTCACATTTATACCAGCCACTCAATACATCACAGATGCACCAAACACCAGCCCTCATACAGCGCAGGCACTGGCAGTCGCTGTGATACCAAACCCTTCTCAGGAGGATAGCCCCTTAACTCTTTCACAAGCCTGCCTTTGCATCAGTGCATCCTCCACTGTACAAGTGCTCCACGACCTGCACCACCAGAGCAGAAAGCACGGTGACTTCTCTCCAGTCTCAGCAAAGATCTAAGGTTATCAGCTCTCACTTACCTGGAGTCTGCTTAGCCGTACGCACAGGGGTATAGTGGTTTTTGGAGGTCGATCTGACTGGTGTGTTCTCTTTGGGAGAGGTATCGATAGCCGAGATCGTTTCTCTTTCACAGTGCGCTATGGGGATTGGTCCCTGTTGTCTTAAGATGTCAGCCAGAGCCCTAAACAAGAAGGAGATCACACAGTAAGTGAGACGCACTGCACAATGGCAAAGGGCCTACTGCCACAGGTCCTCTGATTCGCAGACCTAAAGGAGAAGATAGAGACATGACAGTCAGTGCTCAATAAACACACCTTCGTCTGGCACTGGTATCAATAGGGACACAGGATAGAAGATGCCTAGTGGTACAGACATTGAAAGGCTATGATGATAGTTTTTTTCTTTAAGTCATTCTACATGTATAAATTCTGAGCCCTTTCAAAACACTGGGTCTCCAAATACCCACCTATGCCAGGCACATATCTACAGCAGCAAGCCAGTAGGATGCCACTACAGGGAAGGGCTGACAATATGGGCCCTGAATTCTGCAACAGTCACTAATTATCAGGGGGACCAACCTCCCCAACCAAGAAACCAAGTACACACCAAGGAGCATGTACTGGATATTGGTGACCCAACTAAGTACAACAAACACACAGCTCCCGCTGTCAAAAAAGTGTGATTTAGCTGCAAAGACAGGATGCACAGATAAAAAGATAAACATCAGAACACATGGAGGGTGCAGACAGTGAAGTCAAACGGAGTTTAGAAGAGGGAACAATAACAAACTCAGAAGAAGAAAGACTGCCTTATCAGGAGAGACCCACGCTCCTGCAAGATTCTCAGAGGCCCAGAAGAAGCAGGTTTTATCTATTCACTACTGAGCTTCAGCACCCACACTGGACTTAGTGAGGACTCAGGATGCATCAGTCACCCCAGAGACAGGGGCAGGTAGGGACCCATTCCTGCCCTCCAGGAGCTCACAATTTGGGGAGAAGCACTCCTCCACCTAGTTTCATACAGGTGTGAATGTGAGATACCAATGACTATGGAAAACAGCCATGCAGGGATGCTCTGGGGAGGCACAGATGAGAGTGGACAAACCACCCAACACCACGCCTGTTATTATCACTTCAGAACCAGGGCTCCTGTTCCTGGTGCACCCCTAATTTGTACCAGAAGAGCAAAGGCTCATGTCTCTACTGTTGGTATCCCGCAGGTGTGGAGGGGGTGAGGCAGCATGCCTCCAGGCCTCCCCATCCAGCCCTACCCGCTGGAGTCCAGCTGCAGTGCTCTGCCCCCTTGGAAAGTGACACTAATGGCCTTTAAAAATGTGTCTGAGAATGAATTGTTTCCCTCCATTACGCCACCTGTGACACACCGAACCTGCCTAGAAGAGCATCAAGCTGGCAATCTTATCATTTAGTGGCATTTTATATAGCAATTTCAGATTTTCCAAATGCTTTCCCCTCACTGACTTTCTTTTCCATCAGCCTGTCAAGGAAGAAGCAGTCACACGCCACCACCTTAGTGCATTATCATGGACTCATCAGGGAAAAAAACCACAGAACCTCATTGCTCTGTGAAAGGAAACTGGGCAGGCCTGGAGTCCAGGTAGGGCCAGAGAGCTGACAATCACGGCCTGGGAATAAGGAAACGCATTGCCCTAGGAAGTCAAGAGATTTGGATTCAGACATGGCTCTGCCACTGAGCAGCCTTGAACCTTTGGGAAGATTTGTTAACTTCTGAGACTAGAAATAAAGGGCTTAAACTAATGACCTCTAAGATCTCTTCTGATTCTACAATTTGGTTATTTTATGTATCGTTTTAAATCATACATCCATGCAAGATGTGATGATTCCTTCACCTTTCTAATTGTCAAAGACACTTTCTTACTATCTTTCTGTGATAAGAAAACAGGGAACTACAAATTATAATATACATATTGATCAATGAAATGAAGCTGAGAATACAGGGCCAGTCACTATGGCTCATTCCTGTAATCCCAGCTACATGGGACACATGGGTAGGAGGATTTCTGTCCAAGGCAAAAAGCATGAGATCCTATCTGAAAAACAACTAAAGCAAAAAGGGTAGAAGATGTGGCTCAAGTGGCAGAGCATCTGCCTCACAAGTGCAAGGCCCTGAGTTCAAACCCTAATTCTGTCATTAAAAAGAAAAAAAGCTGAGAATCCAAAAATCAATTCACACAACTATAGTCAATTCATTTGTAATAAAGGTACCAAATATCATTCAATGGGAAAAGAATATATTTTTGTTTTTAAAAAATGATCTTAGGACAGCTAGATTTCCAAATGTCAAGAATAAAGTTGAACCCTGATTTCACACTAGTACACACAAATTAATTAAAAATGGATCATATACCTAAATGCAACTATAGACTCTTTGAAGAAAAATGTAAAATTAAGTCTTTGTGGTTTCTTAGATTCTGCAAGTTTCTTAGATGTAACAACAGAAGTATAAGCAACAAAAAACAGATAAATTAAAAAGCATCTGTGCACCAGAGAAAATAAAAGGCAATCCATAGAAAGGGAGAACATATTTGCAAAACATGTATCTGATAAGAAACTTGTATCCAAATATATAAAGAAATGTTACAACTCAACAATTAAATAAAAACCTCAATTTCAAAATGCTCAAAAAATGTTTAAACAGGTATTTCTCCAAAGAAGGTATACATGAAAAGCAGTTTATCATTATTAACCATCAGGGATTTGCAAATCCCAATTATTCTGAGATACCTATTTATACACATTATGATAGCTACAATCAAAAAGCCAGATAGTCCCAAGTGTTGACAAGGATGGAGGCATCTCCACTCTCTGCTGGTAGGCATGTAGGATAGTACAACCCGTTCAGTTCACAGTTTGGCAGTTCCTCAAAATGTTAAACATTTTGTAAATATATGGCCAGCAATTTACCACAAGTACTCCCAAGAGCAAAGAAAGCACAGGTTTCATACACATAAAACTTGTGTATGAACACTCAAGGAGCATTATTAATCTTAGTTGAAGTGTGAAAACAAACCGAATGTTCAAATGACCCTGAACGAACGGGTCAGGATATGATGGAGTAAGGACCCATGGGTAACATGGATGAACCCTGAAAACGCCACCCTAAGCAAAAGAAAGCCAGTCACACAAGACCATTTTTTTCATTTTTGGTGGTACTGAGGTTTGAACTCAGGGTCTATTTGAGCCACCCCTGCAGCCCTTTACAAAAAATCATGTTTATGTATAAAATGTCTAGTTAGATAAAGCCATAGAGACAAAAAGTAGATCTGTAGTTACCCTGAGGTCTGGGGAGGGTGAATGAGGAAAGACAGATAATGGATACAGCTTTTCCTTTGGGGAAGATGAAAATTTTCAAAAATTAGGTAACGGTGATAGTTGTACAACTCTGTGAACATATGCCAATCACAGAATTGTACACTTTAAAATTTAAGGGTGCAATGTACAATATAAGCCTATTTAGAATAGTTACAATGAAATCCCCCTGTATAATAACTATATCCTAATAAGTTTTTTTTAATTTAAGGGTGAATTTTACGGCAGGTAAATTATATCTCAATAAAGCTATTACCAAAAAAAAGTTCTATTCTTTTTAAACTTGTCTCCTAAGTTCTTATAAAGGATCCTACTTCTCTGGGGCCTGTGAAGAGGAATGGGATTATATGGTTAAATATACTACCTCTGGTCAACCAAGACTGACTACATCAGTGGTCTCCACCAGGGTGATTTTGTCCCCTCCCAGGACATTTGGCCATCTCTGGGGACATTTTTCTGGTTGTGACAACTGAGAAGAGATGTGCTCCTGGAATCTGGTGGGTAGAAACCAGGGATGCTGTTCAACATCCTACAATGCATGGGACAGATGAAGTTAAGAAACCCTGATCAACATCTACTGGACACTCAATGAGTGGGTGTTTGACCTTAATGCAGTCTAGTTTCATAGATTTCTACTATGCAGCCATATGGAGGTGAACACCAGCTGGGCTCTAGGGACACAGAGGGTCTAGAAACACTAAAATGAGTGTTCTGAAGAACAGCCATGTCTGCCTGGGTCACCACTGTCCCCCCGGTCTTGACACTTGCCCAGCCATGATATAAACCGAGAAGGCAATAAGGATCTATTCATATGATGAATACCCTATCCCAGCCTGGAGGGCTTTCTGTCCTGTGCGCTTGTGTTTCCCTGGATAGTTTTAATGACAGTTTCATAGTAGATTTCCTCCAGACCAAGGAAGAGCCAGCAAAGAAGAGATTTTTGATCTGGGTTTTCCTCTCCTGGTATAGTTAGATTCTCAGAGCCCAACTCTCAAGAGGCCCTACAGGACTGTCCGGCCCCTGCTAGATGGCCACCTTCCTGAAGACCAGCAAGCTCAGTGGGCTTGGGTCAACAAGTTATAACTCTGGGTTATAGGTAGGGTGTTTCCTCTTGTCTCTAGGCCATGGAATGAAAGAAAGTAATTTGGGAGGGGGCTTCAAATGCCCAGTGGGCTGGGCTGAGCTGGGCAGCACAGCCGAAGAAGGGGACCATGCTGGAAAACGTACTTCTCGAGGTTGCCTGAGAATGGTAGCCAGGAAAATACTCCTGGTCCCCATTCCACTCCTGAACTATTCTCAAAGATCTAACCTTTCTCAGTGCCCTCTGGCCACTAGAAAGGCAGCCCTAGTTCTCAGGCTGAGGAACAGTTCCCTTTGCCAGCTCCCCCTCCGGACCCCTCAGCTCAGTGACCTCCCTCCTTGCTCTGGTTCCTCTCCATCTTCCATCCCTAGCTCTCCAGGGTGCTTGATAAATATTATTCTAATTCTGAAATGTGTGATCCCAGTCTCACCTAATTAATTTGGATACGCCAGAGGAAATGGGTTAAGGCCTGAGCTACTTTCTAACCATAAGAAAGAAAACTGGTCACTGAAGAACAGTGAAGCTGATTTTGTAAAAGAGTGGGAAGCAGATTTCAGGTCTAAGAGAGCAGTAGAGATGGACTGACAGCGAGAGTGTGAGAGTGTGTGTGTGTGTGTGTGTGTGTGTGAGAGAGAGAGAGAGAGAGAGAGAGAGAGAGAGAGAGTGAGATGGGAAGAAGAGTGAAATGGGATGGGAGATGGAGCCATGGAGACAAACAGCAAATAGATGGGGAGAGGGAGAGAGAGACCAGCA